GGCGGCAGACAGTGGGGCAGCCACCTGCTCCCCAGCTTCCCAAGCAAAACCCTCCCGTAGTTCTCCGCACCCGCCTTGCATCCCGCCTGCCCGTTAGCTGGCTGCGCTTATGCCCGGCAAAATTTCAATTTTTGTACTTCACATTTGATTTAGTTGCTTTTATCTCATCGTTGTCTTTATCTCATCGTGGATTTTTTTGGCAGGCTCTCTCGCCAGGCAGTGCTCAGGTGGTTGGCTTCACCCCCCATACCCAGAGCTGCTCCCCACCACCTTCCCCCACTGCTTGCCCCTTCACCGCCTCCTCTTCCTCCCCCTAATACAATGTGCACTGCAGGCACGGCAGGAATGAGCTGGCGGGCGGTCCCCCCTCTGCCTCCCGTGAGAGACCCCTTGCTGCCAGGTGCTCGGGGCTCCCCATGGCACTGTGCAGAGCTCTTGCTGGTGTTCAAGGGCTTTGCAGAGCTTTGCGTGTGGCAGGGAGGACCGGCGGAATCTGCTGACCCGTGTAGAGTTGTCCTTGCACACAGTTGTCCCCTGTAGAGTTGTCCCATGGAGAGCTGTCCATGGAGAGCTGGCCTCAGAGAGTTGTTCTAGACCCCTTTTTAGCTTCTTGCTGGAGCCAAAACACCAGCCTTAGCGAACCGATAAACTGGAATTTAATCAGGAATATTAATTTCTGTCTATTGATGCGCTTAAAAAGGGTGATTTTGTTATTCAGTCTCAATCAAACATGTCTTACATTCTATGCTAGACAGATGGGTTAGAAGCCAATACAGTACTCTGATCTGACTTCAGTGTAACACCAGGACTTCCATTTTTCTCCTGTTTTATAGAATTTTTCAAAGTACTTAAAATGTATTGGGAAGAAGACTAAGACAGAACAAACTTCATTTGGTTAGAGACTGCTGAAAGCTGGAATGCAGATTTCAGAGAACAGTGAAATGACATGACAGCTTTATGTTTAAAAGCACTGAAGATGTACATGGCATAGTACATTGGTCCTTGAAAGAAATAAAAAAAGAAGGAAAAAGAAGGAAATAGGTATGTGGAGAGAGGCAGTAAATCATTCTTTAATATTATGAATCTAAGAATTTGAATAAACACAGGATTTATTCTCAGACAAAACAATTCTATATTAAGGATGTTTTATAAACTAGGAAAAACCAAGGAAATTCAAAGTTGACATTAACAATTCATGTAGAACTCGTGTGGAAATTTCTTTCCTTTGTTCTTCTTCAGAAACCTAACGATAAGTACGATAGCATCCATTAAAAAACCTCTTAATTTCCTGACTTTTAAAATACTTTTGACCAAACAACTTTTGATCAAACAGAAGTTGTCAAACTTCAGCAAATTTGTTTTATTTTCCCTGTATTTTTAGACATATTTGTAATGCTGGCTGAACATGTAGACACAATCTTCCAATAATACGGACGTAGAAAAAGAAACTTATGAAAACAACTCTTTTGAGCTGCTATCAAAAGTTTCTTGACATCTGTGAAGGTTTGTATAGCTATCGTTGTCTCTCCATTCAGTCAAGCAGGAAAATACTAGAGAAAAATGGGGCTATTATGAGAGGGATTTTCAGGATAACAACACGGCATTTGCGAATAGGTGCCCTGTGTATTATAGCAGCACCAGAAGGCTCCAGCAAAGAACAAGACCCTCCTTTGCTACCTCCATGGAAAGACATGAGGGGCAGTCCTGACCGAAAAAAAATCACTCTAATTACAAGGTAGAAGATCTCTCACTCTGTGAGATCTATTACTGTCACCCCTAGCAATGGGATTCATCTCACTTAACTCGATACATCCGGAGTTTGGGCTTCTACTTTACAGTTACAACCTGAACTAGTTGGCCAGGCTCCCTCAGTAGGCAAAAAGAATGCTCAAGAAGCACTTTTTAGAGGTGCCATCTCTGGAGAAGGAAAAGATTTAATTAAGTTAGGAACTTTGCTTTTAGGCAGTGAAATGACGGGAAATTTCGAAGCCTGGTTTCCTCCTCTATGCTTGGAGGCAGCAAACAGCACTGAGAAGTCTAATTCGTTATAGGAATACCTTGATTTTGGAAGCAGCTTCAGAAATCTGAGGAGTTAGGAAAGGTCTTTTATAATATTTGCGTTGTAGGGTTACAGGGATAATGACTCTGAACTGGCAAACCTTGACTCAAACCATCTCATATGGCTGCTTGTGCTCACACTTCGAGGGGTGACCGTGTCGATTTTACTTCTGTAATCTGAAGTGCAAGGAAATGAATAGTGTTTCAGTTGCACCATGTCATTAATGAGAAGGGTTTCTAATCCACTTACACTTTCCCTGTGGCAAAATATAGTCAAGAAAATTATTCTTTAGCTCTGGCTGTTAAGACCTCTTGTAATAGTTCTGATATGTAAAAATTGACACACAACAACTTAACCCATTAATGACATCCTTGACTCTGGCCTTGTATCCTTCAGATCGCAGCTACATGACAGCCCTGAAGAAATCTGCAAATTTCCTGCAAAAATGCTGCATAAATGTGATTATGATAGCTCCTAATATATTTTAGATATTCCAGGCCTAACACTGGCTACACTCAGATTAGAGGAAAACTGCTGCTGACCTTCCTTCCACGTTGCTGTTATTGATTCGTAAAAGTTCATTCAAAGGTCAGAAATGCTATAAATATTCCTTCAGCAGGTTTAGCAACACATATATAGGCGGAGATGCTAATGCTTCAGGTCTTACAAAGCTGGGAGGAAAAGGAGACATCCTGACAATTTCAAACAGACTGGATAACCAAAAAGAATTTCTCAGATGATTTAGATAGAGCGACTTGCTTCCTTCTGAAGTCTAACATATCACTGCAACCTGGATTCCTGGCTGTAGACTGAAAACGTGTCACAACAAGAAACATAAAGGTAGCAAGCAAGTAAAATGAAAAGAATTAAACCCAGAAAATCGTTCTATTAAAACACTTAACCCAAACCTTAAGAGTGATTCAGAGCAATTTTCCTGAGGGGAAGTTACTCTTCCTTTTTGAAAACAGCAACAAAATCTTGATTTATGCTGGGACAATGTTAATATCGCTGGAATGGCAGTTTGCATATTGCTGTGTCTAACAGCTTGGGAAATGTTTTCAGATTCAGGAATGTACTCCGATCACCATTAGCAGATACGTTATTTTTGGATAAACCAATTCACTAACAAGACTCAATATTCTTTTTCTTGTGAGAATTTTCTTGTCTGCCTTTAAATGTGCATTGCAGGTTTAAAACATGGGCTGAGGAACATCTGGCTTCATTCTGAATGAACATGCAAAAAGTAATCAGTGATGCTTATTCCCATTCAAATGACAAACTGATGGTAATGTACTTTGGCACGGAGTTGCTCGTTGGGAAAGACTCTGCACAAGCTTGCTTACTGCCTCCTGGTTTGCTATCCATTTATGGGCTATACCTGCTGAGATGGAAACCTGAACACATGTGGTGCTGAGGTTGTGTCCACAGGGTCTGAACGTGGAGCTCTATCCCTAAACTGGCTGGCGTTTATGCTGTTAAACCCCAGCCCATGGGTCGGGGCTCTCGTTTGGGAAGCCTGAAGTTAAGAGTGAAGCTAAGAGGTGAGGGTGAATTTATGCTCTGACAGTTATTCACCTATACTCAGCCACACCTACACCGAGGTTAATTTTCATCAGCTCACCATGCCTGAGGCCATCACCCCGCGCTGCTCCGCTGGTTGGGTGCCCTACGGCGAGTGTTGGTTACATGCCGGGGCAAGGACCCGCGAGTGACTCACCCAAGAGCCCGAGGACACCTTGCACCTACCTGACTGGGCACAGACGGGAGTAAGAAAGCAACTCCAAGGGCCCGGAGGCCATGCCAGACGAAGTGCATGGTTTAACTGCAACGTATGTACAGCTCCCCAGCAGCCCCTTCTTCTGCCTTTGTAGTGTTCCTGACAGCCTTTTACTCATTTCCATACAAATCTGTTAGACCCGCTATTAGGGTTACTGACATTTTTTATTCCTTTCAGCTGCATAATAGAATGAAAACATGCGGTGACCCTGTGGCTGCTGGTGCCTCTACCTGCTCCTGCCTCTTCCCACCATGGGCAGCTCCTGTGGCCTCTCACCACGGGCAGGCGCTTGGCGCAGGCAGTAGCCTATGTGTTTAGCACACTGGAGCCCTGGTTACCGCCTCAGGGGGCTACTGTAAAACAAGTACATTTTATCATCCACAACTATCATACTGATATGCCTCTCTGTGATTTAAAATAATGTCCTTTCAGGCCCTGAGGGCATTAATATAAAAGCTGGGTTATGTTCCAGCCTGGCTTGCAAGCACAGTCTGATCCTAGTTGGCATTTCGAGCTCACTTAAGAAATACAAACTCTTTTCCAGAAGGGTACCTGGGGCAGGAAAGCACATAGTTTTACAGTTGAGACAAAGTGACCTGCATAAGTAAAAGCCTTCTGGTTCCTTCCAGTTGTAAAGTTAATGAGGCGGGATGACCTAAACTGCAGACTTCCCCTGTGGGCATGCTCTCCATG